ACATGCGACTCATGGTTATTATTACCTTTAATTGTTATTACGAAAGTTTCTTTTTTGTTTTGTTTTTGTGTGTGTAAAAATCGGTGTGTTCTTTTAAAGGAAACTGCGTCCAAAATAATATTTTTCAGGCGTTGTAAAGAGCTCAAATTGATTTCAGATAGCACTAACCTCAAGCACGTGCAGTTGACGGATTTGTTCAACCCTGGCAGGATAACTGCACTAACTTTCTCAAAACAACTGCCCAAAGTTCTTTGCTCTAAACAATTTCTTTTTCCTGAACCACGAACACCTCCCTCCCCCCCCCCCCCCCCCCCGTCTTTCTTTCAAAGAAAAAGGAAAGGAGATTGTGACATGAAGGTGGCACCGCCCGTGTTGCTCCATTCGACGTCCGCAACGTAAGTTTTCGCCGCCGCCGACACCGATGTTTTAGCCACTGCGATGAACCTAAGTCGAACGCCACGTTTGATTACATCGAGCGTGGCGTTCTACTAAAAAGACAGCAAAATCCCGTCTCTGTGAGTGTTGAGCAGACAGACACGTCGTCCGTGTCTGTTGTTTTCTATTCTACATGATCACGCTTTAAATATTCAAAAACATTAGATCAAGAAACTCTCCTGTTTAGTTTTAGAGGTGTTTTACTAACCTCGTTTACCGACACCAGGTCAAGTGTAATAGAAATCGCTGCAAAGCAATAGAATGGTTTTCTAACTTTCCAAAGTTTTTTTTTTTTTTTTTTTTAAGATATGATTTTAGAATGAGGGTTCTGTGTTGCTTTCAGCTTTTGTTGTTCACTGTTAACGAAACGCATCTTCAATTATGGTTGGTGGCGTAGATTATTAAAACTGCCATCTTTTTGCCTCGCTTAACAACCTTGGTCTCGTCCGCATACATTGAGCTGCTTGCGCACCTAGAAAAACGCAAACCAACACTACAACGTGCAAAAAAAAAGTTTAGAAACAAATTTGGTACAACTTGGTGAAAAGATTAGGGCCCAGTTCAATAGTTGTAAGTGGCTTCACGCCGCGCGATAACGTCCGCATGTTTGGTAGGTGACCATATTTTTTCTTTCGTTTTTTCTGGTGGTAGAGTATCGGTAGGTGACCATATTGTTTCTTACTGAATGAGTTTATCAGCGTTTATTTTCAGGTTTATCATAAAATAGTTCTTTGTGTTTTCTATCGTCCACCAAAATGTGCGGCTAGCTTTGTAAGTAAACTGCATGATGCTATGAATACGGTCGCAATGAGATTTCCGAACCCCCCAATATTTGTTTTAGGAAATTTTGATTATCCAAACATGTTTCGGGCACATGAGAACCCATTTTCTAGTACATTTTCGTCTGAGAGTTTTGATTTCTTGAGTATGTGTTTCGATTTCAACCTGTTACAGCTAATTACCGAACCCACAGTAATTACTACCACGCCCGTACATATCCTTGACCTTCTTCTAACCTGTTCTAACTGTGATCACCTCTCGTTTCATATCCTTCTAAACATTCGGGGGTGCAATCCAACCAAAGAGACAAAACGTATCATTGGTTTAACACATTGCTAAAAAGGTTATCCAACAAGAAAAAAGTGAAAGCCGTTTACAACTCCCTGTAACACCGAATTAGAGCGCAGCTCTTGAGGAGGAGGAGGGAAGGGGGGTGAAGTGACCTGGGGGGGGGGGTCACGTGACCTTGGGGAGTCACGTGACCATGCCGATGATGTCATCAGTGACGTCACTGATGACGTCATCAGTGACGATGACGATGCGGACTCCGATGACGTCATCAGCGATGATGACGATGCTGATGTCGGTGACGTCATCAGTGACGTCACTGATGACGTCATCTTTGATGATGACGATGACGATGCGGATGCCCCCCCCCGAAGTCACGTGACACCCCCAGGTCACGTGGCCCCCGCCGAGGTCACGTGACCCTCCCCGATGACGTCATCGTCACTGATGACGTCACCGGCATCCGCATCGTCATCATCACTGATGACGTCATCAGTGACGTCACTGATGACCTCACCGGCATCCGCATCGTCATCATCACTGATGACGTCATCAGTGACGTCGCTGATGACGTCACCGGCATCCGCATCGTCATCGTCACTGATGACATCATCAGTGACGTCACCGGCATCCGCATCGTCATCATCACTGATGACGTCATCAGTGACGTCACTGATGACGTCATCAGTGATGACGATGACGATGCGGATGCCGGTGACGTCATCGATGACGTCACCGGGGAGGTCACGTGACCTCGGCGGGGGTCACGTGACCTGGGGGTGTCACGTGACCTCGGGGGGGGGGGGTCACGTGACTTTGGGTGTCACGTGACCTTGGGGGTCACGTGACCTTGGGATGACCTTGGGGACACGTGACCTTGGGATGACCTTGGTTACGCCGACGGCGACGGCGACGCCGACGCCGCTCAAGTCGGGAACGGGCCCCTAAGAGCTGCGCTCTAAAAGAGGTTGTTTCTTGTTGCTAAATCTTCTAACGCTTGTGATTGGTGGATTTGTTATCACAATGCCGATGCAATTTACAAAACTGCTATTCGAGATGGACAGGTGTACAGATGTAGAGACTGGCGGCGGGGATTCGTGAAAATTTAACGCAAGCGACCCCTTCGTTTTCGTCGGTATTCAGTTTCGTCATGTTCCCTGCTTTTGTCGACTGCCTGAAACAACCGTGTTCAGCGACTTCAGCGGCTAGCCCGTTCAAAGGACGCGTTCGGTTATGTTGACGCCCCACGAAGTTGGCACTGGGTCTGAGCAACCGTACACACCCAACTCCCGAATATTCTATTCGTTCCAGTGACCGACGCCGGTCCCCGTGAACGCATGTTCACGCTTGCGACAGCTTACGACCGAGTCCGTTGTGATCTCACAACGAGTGGAGTAAGAGCCTATAGTTATTCATCACAAACAACACAATCTTATGAAGTACAGACATGCAGGAGAATCCAGCTGATACCGGGGCATCCCAAATGATAATCTACGATGATGTACTCGCAGCCCTACGTAGCCGGGAAGCCGGAAAAAGACGACTACAAGTAGCATGGCGGCGGCAGCACTTCCGGAATGCGCGCGCCTGCGGAGTTCGCTTGGTGACATCGGTCTATTCACCACGCTTGATTGGTGTATCCATTTATAGCAGACGATATGTCGAACAGGATTTTTAGGTCGAACTTTCGGGGTTCGACTGGGTCGAACGGTTCGACTTTGTGGACAGTGTGGCCAGGCCTTGATACAAGCATGTCTAGGTTTCGAGAAGTTTTTTTGTGCAAAGGGTAATTTTATTTTATGAACAGTCGCAATTAAAAGAAACCAATTCCAATCACTGAAGAAGTAAATAACTTAATTTTTTTGTATTGTATTAACTGAATAACCAATCAGCGGTGCCCTTAATTCATCCCTTAGCCATCACAATCCAATCCAAAGCCAACTAGCCAGCCTGTCGCGCATGCGCACACGAGTCGAACCTCAATACAAGGTTCGTCGAAACTTACACTAAAAGTTCGAAAAAGTCGAATCTGGTCGAACTCGAACCTCGGCCGGTTCGCGACACCCCTAATGGTGAATGTACTGCGGGAACCCGGAGGGCTACGCATGCACGGACATGCGGTACCCCGCACCTCCACCAAAATGTCACGAAGGACGAAGTGAAACAAGGAATAACTGGGGAAACTGAAACGTTTAATAAGGCGAACGTGTGCCCCCCCCCCCCCCAAAAAAAAAAAAAAAAAAAAGGGAAACAGAAGATAGGAGCAGAGCGTCGCGGGCGTCGAAGTCGGCGTAACAGCAGAGTCGAACGCTGGGGCGAGACTGACTCCGGCTTACCACGCGGAGCACCCTTTGTACCCGCGTGTTTCTCTGGAATTTTCTGCGTAGAACGTTCGGCTCGTAGAACATTCGTAACTGGATCGGACGAAAAGGTTCTCGAACTTGCGAGAACGCCAAGCAGAAAGAATAAATAAAAGAAGATTCCGCTCCCAGAAATCGAACCCGGATCCTTCGCGCGACAGCCAAGTCTTTGGAAGCACGCTAACCACTCGGCCACGCACGCGCCCGCTCGGCAATGCGCGTGGCAATATAAAATAACCCTACGATGTTCCTTTTTTTTTTCTTTTTGCCGTTTGGTGTTGTTGCGTGCTCATTAACCATTCAGGTAAACCAGATTTGCGAACCTGTATAATTGTGCTTGTCACTGACGTCGATACAAATTACGCAATGCGGAAGGATCTTCAAAAGTAATTGAATTACATTTCTAAGTATCTGTATTCTACTCAAGACACTTCACATTGAAAGTAGCTTGAGTATTATTGAAATACTTTATGAAGCAGGTATTTAGTAACTTAAATACTTTTATCGAGTATATTGTCCAACACTGCTGGAATAGAGGACGTTCTCATATTTCCTTGAGCGTTTCGCTCGACGCCTTATGGGATATTTGCAAATGCACCATTGGCTTAGGGACCGCAGCCTTCTCGCTTCGTAAAATTATATTTAAAAAAAAAAAAACAGTCATAGCCTGCTGTTTCTTGTTTTTACTCAGGGGATCCTTGTGGTATGCCATAAGGCTTCGGCCCGGGTCCCTCTGCTCATACATCATACAAAGGGCACGGAGTTTCTCCGCAGACACGTTGACAGAATTATCTGCGTACACGCCGCAAGCTTATGTTCGAACCACATTTGCTCTTTACATACTTATGCTTCCAAGATGTCTGCACACGGTTTTTGTATGACCAGTCACCAACGTGACCGTCCTACAAGGAAGAAACACGTCCCAGACAGTGCCGCCAGACTGTCTTTTGCATAATGTGTCAGCAGTGTGACCACGACTGTAGAGGTCATCAGCTTCGCGTTTGTTCAATTAGGTCGCGGGCTAACAAGGTGAGAAAGCGATACGTATCTCCGTATTTTTGAACGGCATATGCGCTGGGGCGATCCCGCGATGCGCAAAACTAGAAAGATAGCCATATCCAGCCGCCGTGTAGGAAAGAAAGCTTGAGATAAACCGACGCCTTCCACCGTCCACTTCTCCCCAATCGAGCGTTGACGCGGCCTGCCCCTCTTGGGCCCTTGTACGAGGAGCGTTTCCAAGACGCATTTATCTCGCAAATACCTGCACGATTTGAACGGTGCGACCGCATGTCCATGAGCTACGCGGTGGGCAACCGGTGGCTAGTCGCTGCGGCATGTTGTTGGATGAACGTTTTTGGTTTCGCCCTGCTCCGTTCATCGGCAGTCACCTACGTCGTCATCCTGCAGACTTTACACGTCACCAGGGCACAAGCGGCGTGGCCACTCACTCTGGCCGGAGTCTTCTACACGTTCACAGGTCTGCGACACTTAAGACTTTGGTTTGAGCTATACTTCGTCTCACCTTAGCATGGACTAACCACAAATGCTGTGCTAGCGCGAGCGGCTGGCCTTGACTGCCTTGATTGGAGCACTCACTGCACGAGTGCTCGTGCAGCCGCCGAGGCTTCATTCGAAGCAACTACCTCGCGCTTTTAGCACGCGCGGCTAACAATAGTCCATACTAACGTGAGGCGAAGTATAGTTGGTTTATGCTGATTTGAAAGGTTAAAAGCTTAAGACAACAAGGACGAATAAGAAAACACACAGGCCTGTCTGTGTCGTGTGTGTTTTTTCCTTCGTCCTTCTTCTGTGCTTTTAACCCTTTAAATCATCAGTGAAGCTTCATCTTGCGAGCCGTTATTGTGACGTGGTTGTGCATCGGCGACAAGTTTCGGGGCCGTTCCAATAATGGCATCTGCGCGTTGCCATCCTTGTCTAGAGGCTGTGGAACGCCCTTTGAACATCAAGAGTAGCTCTCTTCTCGACATATAAGATGCTGCGCACGCGTTCCAGTGACTCCACCCTTTTGTCCGAGTGACAAGCAACGCGCAAAGGTTCCCTTAAAAGCAAGCAACAAAACTGGCACACGTCTGCGAAAAAAAAAAAAAAAAGGGTTGTGTGTATGTTTATACAGCCTAGAACTCGGTCTGCCTCAACGGGCGACGAGTCTCCCAGCTGTAGATGGGCAATTTAGCCAGTGCAGTACAACCGCTAGCCTATAGGGTCTTTAACGTGCATCTCGCAGTAGTGATACACACCCGCACTCCGGTACGATGCTCATCCAGATCGAAACGGACAGGGGTGGGGAGCAACACACGTTTGTGATTGGGAGTGTGTAGGTAAGTGCGAAGTGGAAGCTCCTCCCCACTTTTTCCACTTTAGCAGAGTGAACGCTTGAGAGAAGGCGACCTCTCTCCAGCGTTCGTTCTGCTAAAGGGGGACGCTTCACTGTTAATTTGTCACCGGCCGGTGTACCTGAAAAGTGCCGCAACGTCATGATTTATTTCCAACGCTGGTACAGCCAACACCACCTAAATACCAGGCCTTGGCACTGTTCCCTCTCCACAACACTTAACGCAACCTATATACATGCCTTGCAAGGGACGTCGCGCTAGGGAAGGACAGGGCCCCGCACCATGCTAGTGGTGGACTTTACACCGCGCGGATGCGTTTACCAAAGCGTAGGATATGCCGCTAACGGCCCGGACATGCGCTGACATGCACCATATTTTGAACAAAGGTATGTACCTTGTTGTGTTACATGTGAACTTGGAAAAACGAGCCGAGCTTACGAGGATGACGTTTAGCCAGTACGTGCGGAATTTTTCGGCATTAGTGCGATTGCGCTACGAGCAGAAAGTTTCGATAAGCAGCCAAAAAAAGTCGAAACGCAAAAACCTGTCGTCGCAAAAAAAAGAAAAAAGAAAAAAGCTTATTTGCTAGTTTTAAAATTTGACGAGCGGTTTTAGGAGACGCTTGTAGAAAAATTGTTACGATTTTGCAAAATACTGGTAAAAAACGCAAGGTTACCGTCATAATCTAAACCATCAGAAAAGGATAAATAAAATAAGGACAAGACAACTCTCATTGTCTCAGGGTTTATATTATGATGTTTCCTAACCGGCTCGCCTGCATACTTTCACTCCTTGCAAACGTTACCGTCTCGCGGACGGCACAAACCGATGCCCCGGCGGCGGCGTCTCGGCATGCTTGCACACGGGGGGCCGCCACCAACTGATCGCCGAATGGCCGGGCTCGCGGCGCGACACTCGCCCGTACTCGGCCGAGAGCCCCGAAGGTGCGCTCGAAGCGTGGAAATGGCGTTATATAACGAAAGGCAAAGGCCATCTACACCACGAACGGGCAAAGGCCGACACAAATGCGTGCGCGAACGGAAACAACGGTAGAAAAGTACCGTCGCTCGCCGCTTTGAAATGCGTGCCGCAAACTCGGTAATCCGCGGCCTCATTCCTTTCCTCCGCTTGTACTTTCTCTAACTTGACGGCTACTCTGTCTCGCGGGGCATGACGACGAAACGATAGGACGATCGGCGGGATACGTAGGCTACAAACGAGCGCGGTGCAGTTTACCATTGCTCTCGCTGCGAAGGGCCGTCGAGTCAACCACCAGCATGGCGGATACCCGTGTTCAACGTCGTCAGTTGACGTAGGTGCAAGGCGTGTATATGTCCGGACGTCGCTGACCTTTGGCCGCACCACCAGGTCACGCGAATAGATATATATGTCAGAAAGAGACCGAATCAAGATTAGCACTGCCCGTTATCGTACCTTTAGGGTGATGTTATGGAGGAGAGTAAGCAGGCCCTAACAGTATCTGGTGTTTGTGCAGCAGGCTAAGGATGCAGTCGACTCGCCTCGAAACTTTATTGGCCGGTCGTTTTTCCATATTGCTAAGGGCGCAGTCAAAGGCTTGCAGACGTACAAACGCAGACATACTTACAAAAAGCGCGAAGTAACCGTGAATTCACCACGCTTGATTGGTGTAGCCGTTTATAGCGGAGGACAAACCAGGGGCGGATCCAGAACTCCGTTTTGGGGGGGGGGGGGGGGGGGGGGGGGGGGGGGGGGTGCGGAAAATTTGTAAGGACACTATTCTCCCATTCTTTCGTGTGCACCGGGGGGTCCACCCATGTTATAAATTGCCCTCCGGGGAGGGGAAAGGTCTCTGGTATCGAACCAGACACCTCTGCTGTCGTCGCGCTATCCGAGCTCCTGGTTCCAGATGCTTCTGTGGACTGTCAAGTTGAAGAGCGACCTGCAGCAGAGCTGGCGCCAGTCGCGTTTTCCTCCGCGGCTGTGACACCGTCAACATTGTGACAGCTAGGCGACAGCATGGCACTTCCGTTACGTCATCAGGCATAAATTGAGGACCACATCCAATGGGGGAATGGTCGACCTTGTTAGGGGGGGGGGGGGGCGGCCGCCCGCGTCGCCCCCCCCCCCCCCTTCCCCCCAATTGGATCCGCCCCTAGGACAAACAGGATGGCGAAGGCGGTGGCGTTGCATTTTTGGCTCTCTCAGACTGGCATCATCGACTCGTAGGACTGCGATCTGATCTGAGGTGAAACGAAGTATAGCCAAACACACTGCATTGGGGGCGTGTATTCACGGTTTGCGATTGGATCATGTATCTACGGCTGTAGCTTACCTCTGGCTTACATGAACGCGAAACGGAGCATCGCCGTAAGCATCATTCGGGAGAGATCCATCAGTGAGCGGTGAGATCGGGGCAAACCTTAATTAGCATGTTTCGGTGCATTGAACGCGTCTCCAACTGGTATTTTTAGCGTCATACACATCACCCCATCAGAAGTGGTACCGAAGTGGCGACACAGACTTGTACGTAATCCGTTACAAGTAACGAAATTACTTTTAATCCCTTACATTTATCAGTAATTTAGTAACGGAATAATTACATATTTTCTAGAGTAATTTTAAAGTAATTCCCTTACATTTTTGACGTAACGGATTCCTTGTAATCCGTTACATTTTTTTCTTTCAGAACCAACCCCACCCCCTCCCCTCCTATATAAAGTTTTTTTTTTTTTCATTTGTGCAAAGTCGAGCGCAGTGACACTATCACGCGAATTGACCAGCACAAAGGGAGGCTTGGCACTTCAGTTCCGCAAAGCCTTTTTTTTTTTTTTTTTTTGCAACACCAATTAAGCCCCTGAACTTATTTTTTTTAGACCCTAACAACAATGTCAAAAAATCCAAAAAAACATTTCTACAAAAAAAAAAAAAAAAAAGGGGGGGGGGGGAGGGAGGGCGGAGGGGGCTAGTTATTTCCGTTTTTTTAGTCCCTCTGTTTTTTCTTTGCGATCGAAGACGGGGAAAGGAGGACACCAAGTGATTGTGCGCGTCTTCGAGAAGCTCGAGGCGGTAAATGCACTGAAAAGAATTAACAATGTCCTTCTACGACCATTTTCATAATGTCACAACACGAGACAACGCTCCGTCTACCCTACCCTTTTTGTGAGTCAGCTTTTTGCGACCACTTAGAAAATGGTAATAGTCATCCCTTCTTCTTCCTGTATTGCCCCAGCAGGGCCCATCTTATCTCAAGCAGATCTTTTTACAAATAAAACATAATGGTGGCTTACCTAGACTTGATATTCTGGGCTTGAGGAGAGAGTGAAATTCGTGAGTGGGGCCATAGCGCGGCTTACTTAGTACTCTACCCTTTGCTGCCCTTGGCATCAGCGGACGTCTATCTGGAGAACACCGGAGTAAACTGCAGTCGGTTCGTGCTCCGTGCGTTTTTGAACGGCACCAAGAAAGGTACACACGGCAAACGTGCGTTTACGTTTCCTTGTTTTAACCGACGTTCTAATTAATTGTTGTTATGAGTGTCCTTTTTCTTTTATTACTTATATTTATATACTGGAAACTTTCTTTTATTCACCAACGTCTCAACTGAGGCTCGAACTGTTCAGAACCAAAGGGAGAAGAATATCGAGCCAAACCTTATTTATTATTTAATTATCACCTTACTGTTACAACTATGTTTTGCTATTGATGACTTCCACAGCTTCGCGATTTAGGCAATGAAGAATTTAGATCGGTCCGAGGACTCCGATAACGATATCCGATACTTCGTATGCGTCATATCGTTATCGCGGGTATCGGAGGTATCGGAAAGATCTACTAAATCTCTCGGATAGCAGGCAACGGCTGCAACGACCAAGCTTTGCTCTACATTCGAGGTAAATAGTACTTCCCTTGCTTCGCTGAAAGAGCTCAATGCAGAGCATGAAGCATTCGTGAGGAACAATATGGCACTCCCATCCAGTGCCTCACCTCAAATGGTGTTCAGCGTAGCAGTCGACATATTGACTAAGAAATAACGCAAAATGCCTGACAAGACTTTCGAGGGCCAGCTGTTGCTCAAAATACTCAAGGTCATTAAATGGAACACGTTGCAACAATAAGAGCTTGAATGACCCTCTTCCCTTTGTTTCTTACTTGACGACAATAATGTTAAAAGTATAACGCCACGAAAGTAACGGATTACTTTTTGGGGTAATGGTCAGTTACTTTCATGGGAGGGTAATTGTAATTGTAATAAATTACAATTTAGCCTTGAGTAATTGTAAATGTAATTCGTTACTATTTTTCAGTAACGTGTACAAGTCTGTGGCGACAAATGACATCACAGGAGCCACACTGTCATGCTGTCAGATGTCGCGATCCTGGCGGTTGGTAGTATCCGGAAAAAGTAAGAGCTAACGAGGGTTATAGTGCAAATAATGCAAAGGTGCAAGCGAGCTGAACAAGAATGACAATAATAATCTCTGGAGAAGGAAAACAAAAGGCACAAGGGGGAAGCACAAATCTCCAAACACAACTAGGTGACAGCTGGTCCTGGTATCGAACCAGAGACCTCTGCTGTCGTCGCGCTATCCGAGCTCCTGGTTCCAGATGCTTCTGTGGATTGTCAAGTTGAAGAGCGACCTGCAGCAGAACTGGCGCCAGTCGCATCCTCCTCCGCGGCTGTGACACCGTCAGCATTGTGACAGGCGACAGCATGGCACTTCCGTTACGTCATCAGGCATAAATTGAGGACCACATCTGAGGGCGCGGGAAACACGCCAGTCCGGGAACGGGTTCCAGGCACTATAGCGTGATGCACAGTGAAAGGCTACGTGTTTGCGCTAATCCAAGGGAAAGCAGGGATTGCATGACGTTATTGCGAAAGATGACATATATTTTGGGATCGTTCTGATTTCAGTATGAGTGCTACATCCCGAGAACACCGCCACCTGCGAAGCTGCGTAATGCTCAAAGGCTGAAACTGAAATACTGTCTCCTTTCGTGGATACATGAAAGATGAGGGAGACGATGCTCCCCTATGTACGAGTGTACTATGTATACGCGCAAGTAATCCTACTCCCCAAAATGCAGCACCTGCCGCGGGCGTCCTCGCAAGATACGTCAGCGTCTGGAAGCTGACATTGGCAGCATCTGTGGCCAGCGCTATCTCTATTTCGCTTTGCTACTTCGCCAATGGCATATCCTATCTTATCGTCTGTTATGGAATTTTGCAAGGTACGTTGTATATGTTCCACCTGTATACGTTAATGTCAAATCATGACTTAGCATCAACACGAAATCGAAGTGCAAAAGCATACAGGCACCTATCGCCAAGCCCTGATTTCGATTGACCCCAGAGAAACAAACAATTTTAACCTAGTTACTTGATTCGCGAGTAATTGGCTTCATATAGCTGCCTAAAGTGCATTTAAGCATCGAATCCGGATTTTTTTCTTTTTTCTTTGCTCGTCTAAAATAGTTATTGTGGTAGTCTTTTGTCATACGTTCCTCTGTGTATATGTTGAACCTCAACCATTACGCCCTGTTAAAAAAAAAGTTACCTATATACGTTATTCAATCTTCATTATCTTTGTCATCCTATTCTAATATACATGATGCATTAAACCCTTGCGTGTTTTTTTTTTCAGGCATCGGTCTTGGGTTTATGTCTCTTAATCACACGGTCATCAACCAAAATTTCGACAACTTCAAGACAGTCGCTTCTGGAATCAGCAGCGCAGGATTTACGATCGGAAGCGTAGTGTTCCCCCCTTTGGTACAGTTCTTCTTCGACCGATACGGTATCAGAGGAGGTTTCTTGTTGTGCGGTGCTTTGATGCTCAACGCTGCAGCCGGTGCTATGCTGCAACGAGGTTCTCGCGCAGTGCCTGTTCCTGCTTCTGACGGAAAGCCACGGGATGATCCTCATAAAAGCAAGACACCACAAGAAGACGCATTTGGAAATGAATGTCCACGCGCTGCAGAAGGGCCCTCAGCAGAACATCTACTCAAGTCTGTGCATACGTCTAGTAAAGATCACCGAAGTACCAAAGATGAAGACACACTTCGTCTGTTGTTTTCAAGAACAGCAGCAAAACCCGGAGCTCAACAACTCAACTCAGAAAATATAGAGCTTGAAGAGCTGCAGGTTCAGACAGCGCAAAATAAGTTCGACATTTCGAGGACAGTAGACACACTAAAGCCAGTGGTAACTCTTCGAAATCGAATAGTAGGTTCGTTGTCGTTCTTTGCCATACCCAAGTTTTATATCATCACACTCTCATTTTCACAACTCCTTTTGTTCTTAACCACTTACACAACGGTCATCGTGGACTTCGCGTTGGATCGAAACATTCCGAAGTGGAACGCTGTCCTTTTGGTCACGATCTGTGCGGCAGTGGACATGGTGTCGAGGCTAGGATCGGGATGGATCACAGACAAAGGCTTCTTGAGAAGAAACACCATGATGTCGTTGAACTTTCTCCTCTCGACCATGGCCCTGTATCTTTTACCCTTTTGTAATTCGTATTCCCTAAATGTCCTTGCGACCGTAATCCTGGGCTGGTGCAATGGAGCCATCACTATACTCACTCCAGTCTTCTTAATGGAACTGGTAGAAGCCGGCAAATTCAGCGTCTGCTACGGGACAGCGATCTTCCTGGCTGGCCTTCCTATGCTTTTTAGGCCTTTGCTAATTGGTAAGTCTTGTCGTGGTCTTGTTTATTTTACCCTCGGCGTCAACTACTTCATGCTAGATTGTCAAGGCTAGCGTTGCTTCCTCAGTGCTCCAATTTGTCAAACCTACTTGCACGAACGCGTGCGAATGGAAGAGGAAGTCACCTGCAAGGGCAATGGAACACTGCGTAGCTTCAGCACCATAGGAGCTAGGCTAGCATTGACACCAAAGCACAAAATAGTTGAAGCCCAGTATAGCTTCCATTGTAAGGCTTGCAATGTAAAAAAATTACGCCACTGCTTTGACTTAGGACGAAGCGTACCATATGCAGAATGCAATAGCGATATAGACACTTTGCAGCAGCTGTGCATGGACGCCGCCATAACTGACCTTCAGTTTTTGTTTCCTCTTATTCCGTTTATTTCACTTCATCATTACCATAGCAGGCCAGGTTATTGCCACTCAAGATTCAACTGTGTCCTTTTCTAAAGCATCGGCCTTTGTAGAGGATCGTCAACTACCGTTTCAGTTGCTCGGCATCTCGGTAAGACAAGAGAAGGTCAGCAATGGCGGCTGTAATTTGGCGCGTGTGTAAAGCGTCTGTACGCCAATCTGGGCAGCATGACAACGTGACGCCACATTACACTAGGACTTGACAGCCAAGGCAGGGAACAGATGAGCGATGAAAACGGGTGCAGCGCGGCAGTTTCCGTAGCAACTTGCGCGGACGCTGTGACGTGGACCTATGCCATGCCGCCACCTCACAGCGCCCGCGCTAGTTGCTATGAAAACTGCCCCGCGGCGCGCGCTTTCATCGTTCATTCCCCTGCTTAAGATATTTGGTATTCGATATTCCATTCGATGTTTGACGTTTTGGTAACTATCGGGCACTCTTTGAGAGGAATGGGATCCGAGCTCAAATTTACCTATTATCGCATTTCGTGTGTTTACCACCGAACGCTGCACATATCTAAATAGGCGATTTGGCAGCGCTCATGCAATACGTTATCAACCTGATTTTATCGGTGCGATGCGTAATTTTTAGAAGAAACTTTCGGCCTGATTACCGCGAAACACCCCTTTGGTACATACATACCAATTATCCTACTTTATAAGATAAAAGATACTCGATCATGTGCGCGTTTCACGGATTTGGCACTTTTTCCGAGTTCTACTTTTTTATCAGTATTGTTTTTTTTTTCTAATTTCAGGACACTTCAGGGACACATTGGGAGATTATCAGGGGCTCTTTTGGGTCCTCGGTACGTTGTCAGCCTGCAACGTCGTCTTATGGTGCGGACTTTGCTTCAGAGAGAAACAGAGATGCAACGATCTCAACAAGCAGCAACAGAAGAAACATTCCCAGTCATGACAAGTTACCACGCTCTGCACCACTTAATAAATAGGTCATACTTCGTCAAAACAGATCAATAAACGAAAGGCATTCCCAACATGTTGAAACATTCGCCCCTCGCGCCCTCTGTCGGTCATTCTAGGCAAAACGATATATAGTTCCCGGAAGTATTATAGACAAAAATATTACGATAATATTTAATACTTATTAGAACCTCAGATATTTTTATGTCCTGTTTCTAAATCCAACAATTTTTTTCTCTTTTATTATTATTTTTTCTTTTTTTTTTGGGGGGGGGGGGGGGGGGCGTTGGGGGGGGGGTTATTTTCTATTTTGATATTCACCTTCTGCGCGCTTCCACTTTTGCTTATTGAACTGTGGAACGCGTTCTAAACAAAATTTTACAGCGTTTAAATAAAGGAAAAAAAAAAAAAATTGGGCGCTGCCATCTTGAAATCACGTGACGCGGCAGCCATTAGGTTGCTTCAACTTGCTGTTCCGCTCTCCCCTCCGCGCCTTGGCGGACGCGTTGTATTCGTGTTTTTCGTCGCGTTTCACCGCGCTTTCTTCTACTCGACGACTAATACATCACGAGGGTTCAGGTGTCTTTATGACAACTGAGTTTTGTTTATTAATAGTGGCGGAACATTCTCAATAAGAAGCGCGTCTATTTATATCACGCATTTAGGATCGGAAGGCGTCAAGAATAGTCAGCGCAAGTAGGCTATCTGTATTTCGTGGAACTATGGTTTTTTGTATTCATAATATATCGAAAACAGATTTTTTTTATTAGGTAAGGAAACTCGCGGAGCAGATAGACAACGCACATTTAACTTGTATTTTATCTGAGGCTAGGAATAATGGTACGTCAACATCAGGCGATTTGTTTTGTTCATAATATCCAACCTACATGTGGATGAAGTTCTCAATCTTTTTTTGCGACGTAAACATTTGGTTGGTCGGTTTACTTATGAAGTTTAAGAAATTGTATACCGTGCTCGCTCCCATTTCGACAGTCATTTAAGTGATTTATTCCTTATATTTAGATAACCAGTGCCATCCGCTTAATTTATTTTAACACAAAGGTTGGAACTTCCCGCGTAAGAAACTGCCACAGACATTTAACAGTTGAGAGCATTATAGAATAGCGTGCAGAAAGAAATAACATTGTTTCTATTTGCAAATTCAAAACGCGGTTTGGGTTCGGAGCATGCGCAATAATAACGACGTTCTTTTTTTTTTTTTTTGCGTACGCTGTTTTAATTTTTGTTAGTTATCTACTAACTACAATATTTGACGCAAAAAAAAAAAAAAAAAAAAAAAAAAAAAAACGAAAATCAGAGCCGTCTGCATAACAATTATTTGAGTCCAGGGTTGTCGGTGGCGAATAGAGGTTTACTTTTGTTGGCTGGCGACGCCGAAATTTACAAAGTTAATCTGTTCAAACAAATACATATTTGTTCACACAAGTCCGTGAAGTGATTCCTAGCGCTAAAATTCAGTCAAACTTTCCGAGGTATTTCTCCTTCTGCGCCCATTAATTTTATTTGGCCAATTTTATGGAAGACAAATGCAAGATTTAATTTGATGGGCCTGTCACTTATATCTTAATTGAGTAAGCAAATGTTCATATAAAAATAATTTACTTGCTAGGGCAAATATCGCGAAATGCTGTTTATGAGTACTTCAGCAGGGTTGCTAATTTAAGAACTTTCCTGCTCGGCCTGTCAAAACAAGCTCAAGTACTGAATTAAAAAAAAAAAATAATGAAAGAGGCCGAGACGATACTACTTGTTTATATAAATTATCTGCGTCATTACACGCTACGTTTTTGTCTGTGAAGCTCACTAAAGGCAGGGTGCCCACGAAAACCAAACAGTAAGTAGTAAACTCGGGAGTTCATCTGTTCTGGCCGATCCAGCACATTGCTAATCAAGCTGTCGATATGCTTCTTTACATTCACGTGTTAGTCTCTTTGTTAGTTTTTTTTTTTTTTTTTTTTTTTTTGGAAAACTGGTGTCATTGGGTAACGGCCGCATACAATGGTAATCCTCCCTGTACATCAGACAGACGTTTCGCAACCGACCATAATCAGATACATCGAAGGAGTTGGTAAAGAAAGCTCGCAATTTAGGCTAAAGTACACCTCGTAGTCCTCAAAGTGGCTCAATACCACTGTTTCATTGGTTGTGTGCGACAAGAAAAATAATCGTATCACAAAATGAAGCAAAAGCAACGTAAAACAGCAACATAGCCGCGTTCACGTTGAAACCGAAACCAACCAAATGGAAGCAACCTAATGGCGCCGAATGCTTCAGCGCCCTCTATCCGCCGGTGAGGCAACTACTAAAATGAAAAGGTCTATAGGTTTCGGTTTCTTTGCGCCAGCGGTCCTGCCTCCCGTGGCCAAAGCATGTAACTGATGTGCGCACCTGCGCACGCAATTTTCGCACGATGAAGGTGAACCCCACAATCGGAGCTTAATCGTGGGATGTTATTCGAAGAGGAGATCGTTTCATGTTGCCTCCCACGCAGTAGGCGAGGCGCTAGGTGCACGATTTGGCCACGGGGGGCAGGACAGCTGGAGCGAACGTGCGCTTCGATACGAAAACAGCCTAGAAACGCGTTCAACTTGACCGTTTTCTCGGAAAGCCGTAAAATGCTAAAAGTACCTTATATCTTTCCAAAGTGATTTAATTTAGTGATTTTCGACAATGCCCGGGGAGTTTCTAATTGAAACCATATCTTCAAATTTACTTGAATGTGAATATTTGAAAGAAATCAGTCTGGTTCAGGCAAAACTAATTAATTTACTAATTAAAAAACAATTACTCGAAAGTAATAATAAACTAAATGCACACAAAACGTTATTAGGTTTCCCAAACAGGTCTTTTGGCAGACATCAGTACGACATTAAACCATTTATTTTCTTTGCGCTTTGTGTATTACTCGTACGCCATGTTTCAGCGCAATAGATCCTTTCCGAAACTGTGAAATGGTGCATAGATTATGCGCAGCCGCCATTAGTTTGTCCCGTGATTAGTTCCGGGTTCACGTCGAGCAACGACGCAGTACTCGTGTGGAATTCGTTTTCATCCCAGAACAGTCCGAATGCTGACGAAGCGCTCGTGTTCAACGCGTGCTCGCAGTGCTTGACCAACTAATGGAGGTCGCACATAATCTATGCATCATTTCAAAATTTTGAGAAGGGTCTATTGAGGCTGCTCGCAAGCTGTGTGGAGTGCGTTTCGCCAGACACTCTACTACATCACACGGTCCTCCGTGAACAAACATAACCATATATAACCAAAATAAAGCGTTAAGGAACGCGCGCGCAAGATACCATTTCTTTTAGGCTTTTGCTTTAGAACAGTTATTGCAAACGCCGGCGCCCGAACGCGCACGCCTTCCCCGTATAAAAGATTCGAAGTAAAAAATTCACAAGGTCTCTTGTATTATCGCTAAGACGATTGGAAGGCGAAAGACTTCGCACACACACAATTCCTCGTAGTCCATCGGCAGGTCAGACATGCTTAGACCTCTGTCTGTGACCACTATACAACTCGGTAGATGTTCGCGTCGCACACAGCTTATAAAGCGACTGGCGCCGGCGGCAGCTGGCACCATCTGCGATGACTCCCCACGAGGCGTGCCCGATATGGCGTGCTACTCGGTAGACGCCTAACTGAATTTGGCCAAGCATTGGCTAGCGATGGTCTTTTGGCCAATGGCCAAAGGCTGGCCATTCATCGGCCAATGCTTGACCGATGGCTGATGTCCAGTGGCCATTGGCCAAGGGCCAGAGAAAGGCCAGTCATCATTCAATGTCTGGCCACTGTGTGGCCACTGGCCAAAGGGCCATTTCTAGCCATTGGCCAATGATTGGCCAGATCTGTGTTGTCCGCGTCGCAGAATGCTTATAAAGCAACTGGCGCTGGCAGCAGCCGATCCAGCAGCCGCTGCATTAAAGACAGACACATGATTTATCCAGAGTCAGTGAAACAGACAGCGGTCCCTGCTACGCAGCACAAGAATTCAAGAACTTCAGCAGGAACTGGGGATTCCAACACGCTACTTCAAGTCCGAGCTACGCGCAGTCAAATGGTCTTGCTGAACGAGCCGCTCAGTCAGCAAAAGGGATTCCCCGAAAACGCTCTCTGGATGAAAGCGACATACAAATGGCCCTCCTCAGTTTCAGAAACATGCCAAGGAGTGAAGAACTGGGTTCACCTGCATACGGACTGTACAACAGAAGGACAAGAACTCCAGATCCTACGCCACGGTGGAAGAAACACATTTAGGTGATGACTTTCTGTCTGGCGCGGCGACCACATTATGTTCGGCGCACCGAGCGCGCTTCACTCGCACGGGGATAGATGGTGCCCACGTATAGAGGGGCTTGTGAAGGCTTGTATAGAGGGGCTTGTGAAGGAAATTATGCATTCTTTACTCGGTCCCTGTATACCGTGTAGTGAAATGATGGATTTATGTTGGCGCACTGGCACTGATTGCCCTTTCCCCGTGCAATTCCTGTTTTTTTTTTTTTTAACGAGAAGATTCCGATGATGACTCAACGTGACAAAAATACTCGTATAAATATAAAACTTCCCGGCATAATCTACTGGGCCTTCAATAATTTAGAGTAATTTAGAGTAAACACCTGGGTCGCACTCGCATGTTTTGTCAATCAACATCTTTGGTAACAGTTCCGTAACTTGTTTAGACACATTGCGTGGCTTTATATGAGGTAGGGTGATTCCCCCCCCCCCCCCCCCCCCCCCTGGGCTCCTGCCTTATTGAAAAAAAAATTCCAATAATGTTACATAGTGGGGCCTAAATAATTCTTTACAAGCGCATAAAGGTTTTAGCGTTACAAATGGTTTATACATAAAATGAACATGGAACATACAAACCTTGTAAGCAGAAAAAATCCTATTTATGATGACATAGTGCCTGAAACGATGACACAGTATGACGACATACTGATTGACATGATGACACAGTGACTGAGAGTCAAACAATATTAGCGGTTATAAGACATAAATTGCTTTTCATCTCTCTCACAATATGGTGGCACCCCGTCTTACCGGTAAAAAATAC